CCTCCCCCACGCTATCTCCAAACACACGACCTCCCCTCCCCCACCCCCTCCACGCTACTCCCAACCACACCTACCCCCCCCACGCCCCCCCCCCCCCGGCCTATCTCCACACATACCCCCCCCCTCCGACCAGCCCCCCCCCCACCAGCTATCTCCACACAAAATGAGTACTTTGGCGTATGCTAATATGTACTATTTCGATCGCAGTAAGCACCATGTACTGTATGCAGTCACTATGCACTTTTGTCCTTTGCGGTTTGGGCTCGCATCAGCCTCTGATGAAGTGATTAAGTGATTTATGGGATCACTAAAACCAATCAAAACGCGTTAAATTTATGTTTTGCGGGGTGACGGTGTTCCTGATGAGTCATCGACGAATGAGTTTTTTTCTAAACAATGTATTTATGTACTGTGTAAATAGTAAAATACGTACTATAAAAAAAATGGGCATTATCCTAAACACTGAAAACAGGGCCAAAAATCAAAAATGTCCATTTCAACAAGAGTTGTCGAATAGGGCCTAAATACACACACACTGTCTCAGAGCGAGAGAGTAGGCCTTTAGGGCATAGGGTATTAAAATAACATGTGAGATTCAATTATAAAAATCTATAGAGGACTCCTCAATCCAGTGTGGGACAATATTTAAAATTGGTGACATGTGAGAATCTCAGAATCAAATTGGATGACTTTCAAATCTAATCATCAGATCTAAATTTGGCGGGGTGAAACTTGTGAAAGACGAAATGCAGTGAATATTTATTCATGTAAATTTCATCTGCTACATAAATTCCTGTCACGTATACTTGTACTGCCACCCGTAATTATATTCCCTCGCCGCTATTTAGGGTTACGTGTAGTGTATACCCATTCGCTTACGTGTCACATTTAGGTTATCATTTACACAAGCATTCCAAGTCCTTTGTAGTTTACGCTTACGTATCATATATATATTCATTGTGATACTTAAGATAAGAATGCACATGCGCGTTTACGAATAGTACTTCACAATTCGCTCAACTTTCTGAGATGAGATTATTCCGGTTTGCGTTCATGCACCTCACATAGACTCCAGGCGAATAAAGGCTCCACCGCAACACGAGAGTGTATCAATAAATGCTTTTTGGTGGTACAGGCATATACCTCGTATCGCACTGCTATTCTGATATAGGTACCTCAATCTCTAGTATCCACACGAGTGTACTTTTTTTACGGAGCTTTCTGCTGATATAGACACCTGATATGTTCACTACTACACTATCTACTAATACACGTAGCTTCCTGGTCTTGATTATCAACATTGGTCAAAAATGAAGCGTGAACGCTCCCCGTCTCCCGGCGCGGCTGAGTATGAGCGTACACGAAGTGCACACAATACACGTACCCGCATACATACCTCTAGGATACCGGCAAGCAACATTGGTGAGAAAACGCAACAAAACACAGAAAGATCAGAAACTACTTCAAGAAGATCAAAGACCACGGTTTCTAATTCAGATACATTGACTTGTAAAGAGGAAGCCTCAGAGTATGCAACTGAGGACAATCTAAGAGACAACAGTAGCTTCGAAGTAGAAGATAAAACTCAGAAGTGGAGCTCTCTTTATAATAGCAAAGTGGGGGGTAGAGATGATCGTACAAAACGAACAGAACGCCAAGATAGGGCAGACAGATCTGATAATGATGCTTACGATAGGAGAAGTGTCAGAAAGCACACCAGTCACAATAGCAAGAGATCACGCAGTCATACATCCAAGGATGACGAGTATAGTGAGAAGTCACGGAGATCAGAACCGTATAGACGCAGATATAGAGATGAAGAAAAAACACGCGGTGTGAGTACTTCTAAATCAGAATGTATGTCGCGGCTGCGTTCCGGAAAGGAATCGAAGCGTTTTGTGCTCAGACAGGACGATGAACGTGATGATAGTAGGGGACGAAACCATGCCACTTCAACTCAAACTACAACGAGACGAGAACAGATAGCTCATACCAGCAAAGTATGTTTTTCTTATATACAAAATATATCTTCGCAGTCAATATCTGTGTTAGTGCAGTAGTTATATATTTGGTATAAATTTATACATGTATCACCTTTATAGACTGCGAACAAATGATGCTCACGTCAAAACTAAACCATCACACTCAAACATCTAAACCTATTATTCCATATATGTACACACATCTTTATACAATACCTATACCCAACAATATTTATCTATAAACTATACAAATGTGATGCATATATGTGTATGTGTACGTGCATGTAAAACATATATACAACTATGTGTATTTATTTACTACCCACTTTTGTATACGTATGGATATATACGAAAACAATATGTAAATATAAACAACAGTTAAAATTGCATATTGAACAACATATGCATATATATATATATATATATATATATATTAATATATGTATATATATATATATATATATATATACTATATACACACACACACACACACACCACACACA